GATTTTTTTTGACATTTTTTTCCCCCTGTGCAAAGGTAGGTTTAAAACCATTTCGAACCTTACCGTACTTGAAGTTTCTTACATAATTTATTGGTTTGACAGTAACGAAGGCCTTTTGCAGGTCTAAGGTTACCATAGCTTTGAGGTTTTCTCGACTTTCATTCTATGTAATCATCAGATTAATCGGGGAGGGCGGTGTCTAAACCCTGATAGATAGCTATGGAGAATTTTGTTGTCTTTAAGGAGTTGTACTTAAGGTACTGTAAAGTAGTTAACTACTTGACTACACCGTCTCTAAAATTTTTGGATATTACATGAGTATACAAACAGGCCTATAGTTGTTAAAATCGCCCTACTTTTTTTCTTGAGATAGGAGTAACTCTGGCCTCCTTGAACCCATCCGGTAGGTATTAGTGGGACGACAAATTTTTATGTGAGCAATAGGGACTGACAATTCAGAATTTAGTTTAATTGTTTATTATCACCCCTCCCCCATCCTGTGGGCGGTAGTAAAAAGTTTCAGAGGTCATAAGGGTCAGGGGACGGATCCAAAGTTTTGTAGCTGAGAAATTTACAGAGGTAATGAACCACAATTTACAAAGGAATGAATCAAAATTTACAAAGGTAATGACTCAAAATTTCCCCAAAGGTTTTAAGAACTCCGGGTAGGTCTGGTCAAATCATGACAAGTTAAAAAGGGTATTACGATTCAGGGTACAAAAGGGCCGGGGACGGGGGCCCCCAAAGTTTGATAGCTGAACTAGGTAAAAAGGTAATGAGTCACAATTTACAAAGGAAATGAATTCGCAGAATGGTTCTTCCCTTTTTAATAGGGCAAATCAGAAGCACCATTTTTATGAACTTAGGCGGGGGTTATCGGGGCAGTTCTCTTTTTGGGTTTTAAAATGCTTAGTTCTTTTTGAATAAAGTCATGAATACATTACTATTGACAACTGTTTGGGGTTCCCCCTTTTCAAAGTCTGTGTAAAGGGATTTGATGAGGTGGGAGTTTTTTAAAGCGCCAATGTGTATGGGATTATAACAATTTGCCCCCTTAGTTGTTTGTGGGATACCTCTTATCGATACTGAATAGTATGTTAGGTTAAACTATGGTTTATGGCTATACCCCAAAAAGTTTTAGTTTTGCCAGAACTTTCGGGGGTTATCTTTTAATCTTCAATTTTTGAAACAAAAGTGCCTGATTTGCTCCGTTTTGTCTCTGTACTTTTTCAACGTTTGGATTTAATTTAGTGCTTAATATCGTCTTTTGCCTTTTTTAAACTTAAATTTCTTAAATTTTTTGAAATGCTCTGAAAAACCCACCAGTCATACACAACCATCATACATCCACCATCAAACATCCCCCATCAAAAAATCCCCAGTCAAAATCCACCAGTATACATTCACCAGTTATACATCCACCAATGGAAATAAGTAAGGACCCCAATGGAAATAAGTCACTCTGTCTGACTTTTTTGGGTTATCCTAGGTTCTCTACACATATGCTGCTATGTATGATATTTCTATGTAACTGTATTTGTGTATACCTGAATAAACTTACTTACTTACTTACACCAGTCATACATCCACCAGTCATACATCCACCAGTCCTACATGCACGAGTCATACATCCACCAGTCATACATCCACCAGTCCTACATGCACGAGTCATACATCCACCAGTCATACATCTACCAATCATACATCCACCAGTCCTACATGCACGAGTCATACATCCACCAGTCATACATCCACCAGTCATACATCCACCAGTCCTACATGCACGAGTCATACATCCACCAGTCATACATCCACCAGTCCTACATCCAACAGTCATACATCCACCAGTCATACATCCACCAGTCATACACCCACCAGTCATACACCCAATTGTTATATTCCTTTGTACAAACATTTATCGTGCTGAAATAAAATTATTATTATTATCATTTAATTTCCACTTTGGTCTAGGTTTGTTTTCCGGACACTGGCAGACAGGGCTCGTTACGGCGCGCTCTCTCAGTGGTCCTATAAACCACAACAACAACAACAACTTGCCACGAAGCTTTCACTGGGTCTCACCATCAACATTTTAAAACAAATAGTTCGGAATACTATTTTCCTTGAGATTCTGATCACTGAAGTAAGTATGAATGACATTAGATTTAGTTTTTTGTGAAGTTGGCATCAAGTTGAGAGAAAAATAGAAAATATTCCCTTGTTGCTGTGGTGTTGAACTTGACTGGATGTTCAAGAGAAAATAAATTTATTTAAAATAGACAGTGGGTTGATTGCATTCTAGGATTACATAATTTTGTCCAGATTTTTTGGTAAGGCCCAAGTTGTGCAAATATTTTGGACAGACAATGTAATATATAAGAACTAGAACTTCCACTGATAATATGTGGAGTTCCGCAAGGAAGTATTTTGGGTCCCCTACAGTTTTATGTTTATAAATAACATGCTCATATATAGCATATTTTCTATACACATGTAAAGATCCAAAAGATATAGCTAATGTACTGTCCTGTAGCTGGGTTGGCAGTGCTCTCGCCTCACATAGTGAGTGTCTGTGGTTCAGTTCACTGCATGAGTGGAAACACTGGGTGTTAGTCACCTTACACCTGCTGTCACTGTTCATCTAGCAGTAAGTAGGTACCTGGGTGTTAGTCACCTTACATCTGCTGTCACTGTTCATCTAGCAGTAAGTAGGTACCTGGGTGTTAGTCACCTTACACCTGCTGTCAGTGTTCATCTAGCAGTAAGTAGGTACCTGGGTGTTAGTCACCTTACACCTGCTGTCACTGTTCATCTAGCAGTAAGTAGGTACCTGGGTGTTAGTCACCTTACACCTGCTGTCACTGTTCATCTAGCAGTAAGTAGGTACCTGGGTGTTAGTCACCTTACACCTGCTGTCACTGTTCATCTAGCAGTAAGTAGGTACCTGGGTGTTAGTCACCTTACACCTGCTGTCACTGTTCATCTAGCAGCAAGTATGTACCTGGGTGTTAGTCACCTTACACTTGTCACTGTTCATCTAGCAGCAAGAAGGTACCTGGGTGTTAGTCACCTTACACCTGCTGTCACTGTTCATCTAGCAGTAAGTAGGTACCTGGGTGTTAGTCACCTTACACCTGCTGTCACTGTTCACCTAGCAGTAAGTAGGTACCTGGCTGCTAGTCACTTTACACCTGTCACTGTTCATCTAGCAGTAAGAAGGTACCTGTGTGTTAGTCACCTTACACATGCTGTCACTGTTCACCTAGCAGTAAATAGGTACCTGGGCATTAGTCACCTTACACCTGTTGTCACTGTTCACCTAGCAGTAAATAGGTACCTGGGTGATAGTCACCTTACACCTGTTGTCACTGTTCACCTAGCAGTAAATAGGTACCTGGGTGTTAGTCACCTTACACTTGTCACTGTTCATCTAGCAGCAAGAAGGTACCTGGGTGTTAGTCACCTTACACCTGCTGTCACTGTTCACCTAGCAGTAAGTAGGTACCTGGGCATTAGTCACCTTACACCTGTTGTCACTGTTCACCTAGCAGTAAATAGGTACCTGGGTGATAGTCACCTTACATCTGCTGTCACTGTTCATCTAGCAGTAAGTATGTACCTGGGTGTTAGTCACCTTACACTTGTCACTGTTCATCTAGCAGCAAGAAGGTACCTGGGTGTTAGTCACCTTACACCTGCTGTCACTGTTCACCTAGCAGTAAGTAGGTACCTGGGTGTTAGTCACCTAACACCTGCTGTCACTGTTCATCTAGCAGTAAGTAGGTACCTGGGTGTTAGTCACCATACACCTGCTGTCACTGTTCACCTAGCAGTAAGTAGGTACCTGGGTGTTAGTAACATTGCACCTGCTGCCACTGTTCACCTAGCAGCAAGTAGGTACCTGGCTGTTAGTCACCTTACACCTGTCACTGTTTGCCTAGCAGTAAGTAGGTACCTGGGTGTTAGTCACCTTACACCTGCTGTCACTGTTCACCTAGCAGTAAGTAGGTACCTGGGTGCTAGTTGCCTTACACCTGTTACTGTTCATCTAGCAGTAACTAGGTACCTGGGTGTGAGTCACTTTACCTGTCACTGTTCATCTAGCAGTAAGTAGGTACCTGGGTGTGAGTCACTTTACCTGTCACTGTTCATCTAGCAGTAAGTAGGTACCTGGGTGTTAGTCACCTTACACCTGCTGTCACTGTTCACCTAGCAGTAAGTAGGTACCTGGGTGTTAGTAACCTTACACCTGCTGCCACTGTTCACCTAGCAGTAAATAGGTACCTGGGTGTTAGTCACTTTACACCTGCTGTCACTGTTCACCTAGCAGTAAGTAGGTACCTGGGTGTTTGTCAGCTGGTGTGACGTGCGTGCCGGGGCACAAGATTGAAGGATGACAATGGAAATAATGCAAACCAACCGCAGTGATGCACTAACTTTCTTGGGTTATCTTGGGTGGCTAACCCTCTCAGTTAAAAATCCAAGCTCAAGTGCTAGCGCACTCATCTGACACACTGAGGAACCTGATTTAATCCCCTGTATGCTTGGAAACATTAAGACGTGTTTCATTAAGACACCTGCTGTCCCTGTTCAACTATTAGTAAAGTAGGTATTTGGGTGTTAGTCAACTGGTGTGGGTTGCATCCTGGAGACAAAAGTGATCTAATTTGTCCGAAATACTCTGCATCACAAAGTAGTATGTCACTGATTTCAGCTAGGCCTGTATACCTTGTCATTAAGTAAGTTTATTTAGGTATACATAAATACAGTTACATAGATGATCATTCATAGCAGCATATGTATAGAGAACGTAGGATAACCCAAAAATGTCAGACAAAGTGACTTATTTCCATTGGGGTCTCTGTGATAAGTATTATATATTTTTAAAAGTTAAAAACAGGTAGGTATCTTAATTATGTAAAAGCAGTTAAAATAAAAGAAGATAGGATTGCTGGTAGGATTGCTGGTTTCTTTTTCTGTCTCATAAACACGCTAGATAACAGGGATATCTTGCTACTCCTACTTACACTTTGGTCACACTTCACAGACACGCACATGCATATATATATATACATACATCTAGGTTTTTCTCCTTTTTCTAAATAGCTCTTGTTCTTTTTTATTTCTTCTATTGTCCATGGGGAAGTGGAAAAGAATCTTTCCTCCGTAAGCCATGCGTGTCGTATGAGGCGACTAAAATGCCGGGAGCAATGGGCTAGTAACCCCTTCTCCTGTATACATTTACTAAAAAAGAGAAGAAGAAAAACTTTATAAAACTGGGGTGCTTAAATGTGCGTGGATGTAGTGCGGATGACAAGAAACAGATGATTGCTGATGTTATGAATGAAAAGAAGTTGGATGTCCTGGCCCTAAGCGAAACAAAGCTGAAGGGGGTAGGAGAGTTTCAGTGGGGGGAAATAAATGGGATTAAATCTGGAGTATCTGAGAGAGTTAGAGCAAAGGAAGGGGTAGCAGTAATGTTAAATGATCAGTTATGGAAGGAGAGAAGAGAATATGAATGTGTAAATTTAAGAATTATGTGGATTAAAGTAAAGGTTGGATGCGAGAAGTGGGTCATAATAAGCGTGTATGCACCGGGAGAAGAGAGGAATGCAGAGGAGAGAGAGAGATTTTGGGAGATGTTAAGTGAATGTATAGGAGCCTTTGAACCAAGTGAGAGAGTAATTGTGGTAGGGGACCTGAATGCTAAAGTAGGAGAAACTTTTAGAGAGGGTGTGGTAGGTAAGTTTGGGGTGCCAGGTGTAAATGATAATGGGAGCCCATTGATTGAACTTTGTATAGAAAGGGGTTTAGTTATAGGTAATACATATTTTAAGAAAAAGAGGATAAAAAAGTATACAAGATATGATGTAGGGCGAAATGATAGTAGTTTGTTGGATTATGTATTGGTAGATAAAAGACTGTTGAGTAGACTTCAGGATGTACATGTTTATAGAGGGGCCACAGATATATCAGATCACTTTCTAGTTGTAGCTACACTGAGAGTAAAAGGTAGATGGGATACAAGGAGAATAGAAGCATCAGGGAAGAGATAGGTGAAGGTTTATAAACTAAAAGAGGAGGCAGTTAGGGTAAGATATAAACAGCTATTGGAGGATAGATGGGCTAATGAGAGCATAGGCAATGGGGTCGAAGAGGTATGGGGTAGGTTTAAAATGTAGTGTTAGAGTGTTCAGCAGAAGTTTGTGGTTACAGGAAAGTGGGTGCAGGAGGGAAGAGGAGCGATTGGTGGAATGATGATGTAAAGAGAGTAGTAAGGGAGAAAAAGTTAGCATATGAGAAGTTTTTACAAAGTAGAAGTGATGCAAGGAGGGAAGAGTATATGGAGAAAAAGAGAGAGGTTAAGAGAGTGGTGAAGCAATGTAAAAAGAAAGCAAATGAGAGAGTGGGTGAGATGTTATCAACAAATTTTGTTGAAAATAAGAAAAAGTTTTGGAGTGAGATTAACAAGTTAAGAAAGCCTAGAGAACAAATGGATTTGTCAGTTAAAAATAGGAGAGGAGAGTTATTAAATGGAGAGTTAGAGGTATTGGGAAGATGGAGGGAATATTTTGAGGAATTGTTAAATGTTGATGAAGATAGGGAAGCTGTGATTTCGTGTATAGGGCAAGGAGGAATAACATCTTGTAGAGTGAGGAAGAGCCAGTTGTGAGTGTGGGGGAAGTTCGTGAGGCAGTAGGTAAAATGAAAGGGGGTAAGGCAGCCGGGATTGATGGGATAAAGATAGAAATGTTAAAAGCAGGTGGGGATATAGTTTTGGAGTGGTTGGTGCAGTTATTTAATAAATGTATGGAAGAGGGTAAGGTACCTAGGGATTGGCAGAGAGCATGCATAGTTCCTTTGTATAAAGGCAAAGGGGATAAAAGAGAGTGCAAAAATTATAGGGGGATAAGTCTGTTGAGTGTACCTGGTAAAGTGTATGGTAGAGTTATAATTGAAAGAATTAAGAGTAAGATGGAGAATAGGATAGCAGATGAACAAGGAGGCTTTAGGAAAGGTAGGGGGTGTGTGGACCAGGTGTTTACAGTGAAACATATAAGTGAACAGTATTTAGATAAGGCTAAAGAGGTCTTTGTGGCATTTATGGATTTGGAAAAGGCGTATGACAGGGTGGATAGGGGG